TAGAATAACTAGAGGTATTCCAATAGACAATGTTTTATAGGGGTTGAAGTGTCTTCTCTCGTAGAATAACTCCAGATATTCAAAGAGACAATGTTTTATAGGGGTTGAAGTGTCTTCTCTCGTAGAATAACTAGAGGTATTCCAATAGACAATGTTTTATAGGGGTTGAAGTGTCTTCTCTCGTAGAATAACTCCAGATATTCAAACAGACAATGTTTTATAGGGGTTGAAGTGTCTTCTCTCGTAGAATAACTAGAGGTATTCCAATAGACAATGTTTTATAGGGGTTGAAGTGTCTTCTCTCGTAGAATAACTCCAGATATTCAAACAGACAATGTTTTATAGGGGTTGAAGTGTCTTCTCTCGTAGAATAACTAGAGGTATTCAAACAGACAATGTTTTATAGGGGTTGAAGTGTTTTCTCTCGCAGAATAACTCCAGATATTCCAATAGACAATGTTTTATAGGGGTTGAAGTGTCTTCTCTCGCAGAATAACTCCAGATATTCCAATAGACAATGTTTTATAGGGGTTGAAGTGTTTTCTCTCGCAGAATAACTAGAGGTATTCAAACAGACAATGTTTTATAGGGTTGAAGTGTCTTCTCCCGCAGAATTACTAGATATATTCCAATAGACAATGTTTTATAGGGGTTGAAGTGTCTTCTCTCGCAGAATAACTAGAGGTATTGTGACAGAATAAGCACAAAACAAGAATAAATTGATACAAAAAAAACAGAAACTAAGATTTTTTTTTGTTGCACAGGAAAAATATGAAAGAAAAACTATATATATAATTTGATAAAACAGCTTCGAGCATAAAAATATGATAAGCTTAAGTCATTAAAAAAATAACGTGGACGAACATTGAATTGATACCTAGTACAATGATATATAACTTAATAAACCTAATGCTAAGCCATTTAAACATTTTAATATAATTTCTCAGTACCGATAACTCTGAAAAATTGTTTTGAATTGTCACAGAGAGTCTTATTTTTTTACTTGCTAGAGAAGCTTAGCACCAGCCATAGTCTAGGCGCTTCTCCCTAATATTGTGGAGTCCTGCCACAGAACGTTTGTCAGTGCACTGTCCAGGTAGCGCTGCGAATTATCAATCATTTTTTTTATTAATATTTTTTTATACCCAATATTAATAAGATGTTATTCTATTACTATTAAACGGTTGTGAATTTCACACCAGTTTTAATACAGACTTTGTCTCTTCCAATAATCTTAAGTTCCTTCGGGTAATAATGCCCAATTAAATGTCATTTAAGTAGCACCTGTCCTGATGAAACTCAGTTGAACGGACGGCAACTGCCTGTCGTAGAAACACAAGTGTAGAGGACGACGTTTCGAAAGTCTTCCGCCTTTAGTTGCCGTCCATTCAAATAACTTTCATTATACATATTTTTTATGGATAACATGTAAGTCAAGATTCTTTAAACCAAACAAAAAATATTAATAACTAACTAGAATATTACTTACCTAACTAATAATATTCCTGTCCTTTTTCCAGATCCCAAACTTCTTGATTGTGGCCGTGATCATCACCATTTTGGTTCAGTGTACAAACTAGCATAAGCTCCGTACTTGGCTATAGCTTTGCTCTCTACCCATCTCAAATAAATCCCACTTTCTATACGTTTTCAGAAAATCAAACACATTTTAACCTCATATTTCAGTACGTGCAAAGAGTTTGTAATCGTCCACGTTAGTTTTTTTTTTTTTAAGTTTCTACGTGTTATCCATTCCACCTTCGTAACTTCATTTTTCACTTGCAATTTGAAAAAAAAACGTTTAAGTACTGAAACCACCCACGTCAGCAGATATATACTTCAGATAAACGAGGCTTAGTTTCTCTCTGTACGTCTTGATATCGCTGCACTTAGACTCATGACGTCATCGGTTGCTGGAAGCATTCTGATTGGATGACGTGTTCTAAGCGCAGTACGTCAGATTAAAAACATCAGCAACAAGAACAAGTAAAAGGAAGGAGCCCGTTGTTAATAGTGTTTGTTCTGAAAGAACGCAGTTACTTTGCTGCATTGGGTACTGGAGGTAGGTCGGGATATATCCTATCAGTGTCAAAATCTGTGGGAAGTCGAGATAGTTAAGACAGTTTTAAAATTTTAGTTAATTATGAGTAAACCTAAAACATAAGTATTAAAATGTATTTAATAATCTGATGTTAAATTATTTATTCCTATTTTATTTCAGTGTATTTGTATATTAATAATAAATAATACAGATAAGTATCATTTTAAAATTGTTGGTTAATTTGTTTTAGACCAAAGCCACATTAGACTATCTGCTGTATCCACTGCGGGGAATCGAACCCCAAATGTTAGCATTGTTAGTCCGCAGAATAACTGCTGTTCCACCGGAGGACTACATTTTATATAGCCTATCATATATCTGTGTAGCTAACACGAGGGCTATCTGCGCTAGCCGTCCATAATTTAGCAGTGTAAGACTAGAGGGAAGGCAGCTAGTCATCAACACCCACCGCCAACTCTTGGGTTACTTTTTTATCAACGAATAGTGGGATTGACCGTCACATTATAACGTCCCCACGGCTGAAAGGGTGAACATGTTTGGTGTGACGGGGATTCGAACCCGCGACCCACTGGCCATGTAGGGAAGGTTCGGATTATTCACCGAAACACTAGTTTATATATCTCTTCAATTGGTCAACAAAACTTTACAATACTATACAGTGTTTCC